AAAAGTCCTTTGGAATCATCATCCAGTAAAGCGAAGGTATGTTTTCCATTTTTTTTGTTTTGGTCGCAGTGAACTATGTGTGTTAATTGTTTGTTGATTATGCAGTCACATCCAACTAAAGAAAGGAAATGGAAGACAAGTCTAAGTAAACTGGGAGAGGTTGAACCGATCGTACAAGCACATCATCAAGTGGTGAATGAACACGTGCCGGCACCAATCTCATATACACAGCTACTAATGGTTTGTTTAATTCGATTGATAAATGCATTCGATTTTCGTGTTTTAGTTACATAGTGATATTGTGCAGAGTGATGGCAACAATGAGGTAGCACCGCAAAAAGGAATGTCTCCAATGAGCTTCCCATCGGCTTCAATGAGTTTTATATTCAATGGTCAAGGTATGCGGTTAAACATACGTAATTTATTTAAAGTCATACTCTAGTTTGCGTAATAAATTTTCTATTTCACAGTGGAGAATGCAATGTCGTACTACTATCCAAATGTAGCTCACCAGTGTGACGTAAGCATGTGATTTTGGTTGAACAAAATTGATGCAGTAATATTCTCATGGTAATAGTTTGCAGACATTAGTTGATAGTGCTTCATGTTTTATCATTAGTTGATTGTGACAATGGAAGTAACATGTAGCTCTCCTCCCTTATATATGTAACAGCAGTAACGTTTGTTTCTATGTATCAATTTAGCTTATGAAATACAAGCAGGTGTACTCAATTACTGGTGTATTCAGTTACTTGTAGCTCAACTTGTATCAATTACTGGTGTATTCAATTACCATCAATAGTGTTGGAAAACTAGAAACAACAATATTTTTTCAATTACAATAACATTACTGAGATAGTAGTGAATGACAATTACAAATTCTTCGCAAATACTAAAGTCCAGAACACAAATTGGCTGGACATTACAGTTTCCACCCTCAAACCAACATCCTCAGGATACACTACAGTCACCCAAATGAACACCAACATTTTTCAACTCACCAACTGAGCATAATAGAACACACACTACGCATTAAAAGTCACAGGGAACGAAATAGAATAGAACACACACTAAACATAACAACTACTCAAGTCGGTCCCTTCTCTTTGTTATCCACTTTCGCACTTTCGTTGGCCTTGGGTATTGTCACATTCAATGAAATTTCAATATTTTTTTCTTCGGCTACCCGATAAAAAGATTAGAACAATTGAGAGGATTGTTGAACTTCTTCGACCGCGGAATGATTATTTGAGTTCACAGTAACGCTACTTGACATCGCTTGATTCTCTATCATCGACCAATTCCCAATATTTACAGTTAGCACTGCAGCAATCAAACAATTTTCCCTTGTTCTTTGTCTCCCTCTCGACCTCAAAACACTTCACAAAGCCAATTTTACATTGGGGGTACCGTCATTTTTTCGCGCAATTCACAAAGAAGTGACCCTTCTCTCGACAGCTATGACATATTCTAGAGTTCTTTCCTGGCATACTGCACATTTACGAATATAAAAGATTAAGCTGCAGTAGATAAGAAAAATGAAGACAACCACAAAGCATTGTATAATCTTTATAACGATGAGCAATTCAAAAACAGTAAAATCAAGGAAAATGAATGCTAAATACATCAAGCTTACTTAATGTTTGCGGCGAGATTCTGTCGGAAGCAATGGGTGGAGTCGAAGATGGTGGGAAACCCAAGAAAAATGGAAGAGTAGAGGATCATAAATGGGCGTCAAAGATGGTGGGAAACCCAAGAAAAATGGGTGGCGTCGAAGATGGTGGGAAACCCAAGCTTACATAATCGATGGAGCTTCCGTCTTCCGACCATAAACAACGAACAAGTCAAATGCAATCGCAAGAAGAACCTCTAGTGGGAAACCCACAGATGGAAACGATCGAACAATTCTAACCACCGGCTTCTTATTCTGGCTGAGATGGATTGCTGGACGTCGAACAATTTTTTGCCTCTAAGGGTTTCCTCTGATTTGGGGATTTTGGGCAGGAGAAAATGAAAATAACGATGGAAATTATCTTACTAATTGGGCCGGTTTTATTTCTTGACCCACCTTCATTTTTAATACTTTAGTTTTCCTTTATTTCACTGACTATCCATACAATTGACACATCACCGTGTCAACTACTGTGTAAAGCATAAAAGTACGAGCAGCGTGATTGATCTTGAATTACATAAATTTAGAGTTATTATATATATGAATTTATCTATATTCATGTTTCTAGAAATTTTAATAGGTGTTTAAATTTATTTATTAAGAATTAATTTTTATGTATCAAATGTATTATAAAATGATTGCTTATTTATAGTATTTCATTATTACGAAAAAACTTGAATCATAGAAATTGAGTTTTAAGAGTTCAATTTGAGTATAATTTTCTTCTCTTAAATTTGTATCCTAAATTTTATTTTCTTTAATTCGCTTGAGACTTATCAAATCCTTCAACAAATTGATATCAAATATTATTTTTATACCACTTATAAATCATTTTATAATAATGTGTAATGTACGTTCAACTTTGACTAGTACTAATAGAAACGTGCAATATATTTCTAGTGATCGATAACATGACTTTATGTTACATTTTATTCTTTTACATAAATTAATAAAATATACTACTTGTACATAAAAATGGTACATAAGGAATGACATAAAATAATGTGGAGGAAAAAATTAGATGAACTAGTTGTCTGTGTATTAAACTAGCAAATGATAGAGTCACATGTGATATTATTTAAACTCATTATATAAAGTTTAATGTACATATACCAAGGTCCTAAATTAGTATGGTAAAATTTTATTATTTCTCAAAAATAATTTCAATTTCATTTCTAGCCAGTTGGTAATAAATTTCGGGATTTTTCTATTTGTACATTGGGGTAGATTGACCTCCTCACAAGAGGGGGCCACGATAAATAAAAAAATCGTGGACCCTCTTTTGTGAGAGGATCTGTACACCTCGATGTATATGTAGACAAACCCTAAAATTTGAAACATGCCCTAAATGAAAACTCAACCACAATTACTTTTTCCTTAACCCTACCCAGTCACTAACGTCAACCCCACTAGACCCACTATAATAATCTCTAACCTCTCCTCGCTCTTTCATACAAATAGAGTCCCTTTTCATTTTTCCAGTTCTAGAAAAATCAGAGGAAAATATGAGCTACAATAGCTGCAGAGTGTTGAGAAGAGGATGCAGTGAACAATGCATCTTAAGGCCGTGTTTGGATTGGATCCAAACCCCTCAAGCCCAAGCAAATGCCACCCTTTTTGTTTCCAAGTTCTTTGGTCGGAGTGATCTCATGGACTTCATTTTTGCCGTCCCAGAAAGCAAAAGATCAGGTAAATCTCAATAAATCAAAATAAGTGATTATTCTGATTCTGATTATTTTATTTTTTTTATTTTTGAGTGTAGCTTGTTTCAACCATTGATGTTTGAGACGTGTGGGAGGACGTTGAATCCTGTTAATGGAGCAATGGGGCTTTTATCCACCGGCAGCTAGCACATCTGCCAGGCGGCTATGGATACAGTGCTCGTCGGTGGAACTCTTCGGCCGATTATGTCAACTAAGTATCGTAAGTAAATTACTCCCGGTTGTTCAATCATTTGAAATAGCTGGGGAGGGGAGAGGAAAGGTTCCTTTTTTTAGGGTACTCCCGGGAACAGATCCGGCTCCTCGTTCAATTCTTTCAAATTCATTGGATTCTTTTCCGCGTTCGAGAATCCCCTCTCCTTTAATTTGAATATTTAAATTATGTTTAAATTTTTTGTATTTTCTTCGGGTTGCTAACTCAATTCCGATTCGTATTTTTCATAGAGAAATCTCTGATCAAAGATAGAACAAAATCCGACGGGTCAAACTCACATAAGCAGAGGGGGAGATACATTCATGAAAAGCGAGAAGACGTGTCGTGGGGGACTGACCAACTATGAATAGATCTTACTTACCAAGCTCAATTGAAGCATCTGAGGAATTTGTCTCTGGCGCATGGTGGACTAGCAATAAAAATCAAATTTCAAAGCCCAATCACTTCATGCATGAACCGATCAGCCTCGTCATCAGTGATGCTCCGCCACCGGAACTACTCAGGATTAACCCCTGTGCCAGGAATAACTACCCGATAATGGAGAAGTCTGCATCGTTTGGTTCCGGACTATCGGAATTATCGTCGGAATTTGAAAGGGATGAAGATGGGATTAAAGGAGTTGGTAGCAAAGTGCCAAAACTTCTCAACCTTTTTGCATAATAAGCCAACTGAGAATTTTGTATTTTTTGTTTTTCATTTTAAGTTTTTTAGACTAACTTTTTGGTACTCAGTGAATAGAAAATGTAATGATCTGAGTTTTGATCTCTGAAATTTGACTTTTCTTGAAGATCTTTTCTGCTTAATTAAAATAAGTAAGAGTAACGAGTGAGAAAATAATTATAATAAATGAGTTTTGATGTTACTTATCAACTGATATCCCTTAATATTATATCTAACCTACTTCAACACGGTTGACGTATTGTTAGATATGTCTACGTCGATAGCAATTACACAGTCTGTTTAGCTTTTATAGTAAAAAAATGATCACTTATATAACAATTTCAAGTTTGAGTAAATATGTTTTAGGATGGGAAGATAAGTCAGAGTGCAATGCAGTAAAAAATAGTAAACTGAAACGTATTATCTTTAGATTAATGATAAATTTGCCGGGATCTATCACCATTTTATTTATATTAAATTCAATATACCTTTTTTAAGGCGAATTATGAGGATGAATTCTTACTGCATATTCATTTACAGCAAGAAAAATAATAAATTTCTATTATGTTTTTTTTACTTATTTATACTAAAACAATATTACTCATCTAACTAAATATATAAGAGGGAGTTTTCGAGTTACTGTTCATAAGCTGAATGGCTAAATAAATCAAGCCATGTTCGAGTCACCCGAGCCATGTACATGGGTGGCTATAAAATGATCTTTCCCTTGGATTGTCTAGAACGTTTGGTTCCAGAACATTCACTGTGTCTGCTCTTTTTTCTTCTGTTTGTTTCTTCATCACAAAAGTATCTCTTTCCAGATCTGCTTTTCTTTCTAAACATGTTGAAAATTTCTTTATGGGATAATTTGTTGCGGCCGATTCTCTTCTTTGTCGTCCAACTTGGTTCTGCCAATTCCCTGTCAAACCTGATGTAGAAGCAACTGGCGACTTCAAACTTGCTAAAGCCAACCGAAGTTAGTGGAAAGATATGTTTGAAGAAGTTTAGACTCGAACCATCCAATATTTGCCGCAAAGGTTTGTAAAGCTTTTACTTTAAAAGACATGTTTACCATGAGATGCTTTTGGAGGGACGATTGAGGATTTTGTATTAAATAAATTGAAAGAATAGAGGCTACAATTTCGTTTTCCCCAAAATATTTAAAATTTGATGCTCTATAAAATATTTCTTTTTTTCCATTTTCCTTCCTTTTCATTTTATTTCGATTTCTTTTGTAGGCTACTAAGACAAACATAATCAAATAATCTGAATGCAAATTCTGCTTGACCAAGTCACAGTTAAAATTCAAAATTGAGGAAGAATGAATGTGAATGAAGCCCTCTTCGTTAGAAGAAGACTCAAGATCTAACGTCTGCAAATGCAGCTTCACTACTTCCGTATTTGGGTACTCTATTTGTTAATTTCTTTGACTATTTAAATTGTTGGCTTCTTGTGTAGTTATTGTATACTTTGATTTTGGTAATTCGTCGTATATCAGAATTGGGATCATTTGCATCTGGTTTCTTTTTCCTTTTGTCTTCTTTTTAGTTAATTTCTAATCTGGTCATTTCACTAGCGTCGAAAAGTTATTCTACAGCTTAGTGGAGAAATTCATGGCTTCTAAGTTTCTATATGGCGATGCTTCATGCAATCACAGCAAAGGTTTAGTTTTTGTTAGTAGTTTAGGATATGGTAGGTGTTGTGTGATGAATGTGAAAGAATATGATCTATTAGCATCAGACGCGGTAGTTGATTCCACAATCGTGGAAAGCATGAGTGGATCCATTAAAATGAAATTTTATAGAAAGGAAAAATCACATTATTTTAATGAAGTTTTTGTGAAATAATTCTAGGTATCCTTAGAAAAGTAGTTCTTTAACAAGAAGCATTAATGTAACAAGATTTTTTTTTTTTTTTTTATATATTCATAACACCTTTTAATGTCTACATGATATTGCTTTCTTAAATACATTGAGCGATCCTTGGTTCATAAGACTTCAAGAGTGTGGCTCGATGCTTAATTAACTCATCCTTTGTTAACAATCCATTATTCAGGATGATATCATTCTTGGAGCAAACACACGAGACACCTGAGGACCCATTGTTGTGAATAAGAATTGCGATAAAATTATATATTTTTGTGAATTTTAAATATGATTTATTTTCCCCTTCTGGTGCTCTTGTATTTCGTCTCTTGGGAGTAATGGAGTGAAAATGATATTTTTTTTCACGAAAATAATAGAATGCCTTCGTTTGATTCCATATAGGACTGCTGGGTTGGAGCAAGAAATTGAAAACTTGAAAAAGAAGTTGGCTACTGCACAAGAGAAAATAGAAATATTCAAAAAGAGTTATCAAAGGCTTATAATATTATATTAAAGTTAGAACTACTACTATCTCTTTAACATCGCTTGCATGATCACGTTAACATTTGATACTGGCTTCAATTCAAGGTGAAATTCAATTTTATTTTTACGTGTAATTTTTTATTTTTTATTTTGGCTGGTTCAATTGATATAATAATTTTTTTTAAACTGATATAGGATTGAAGAGCTGACTCATGAACTTTCTGAACAAAAAAGCTAACTACCACTCTTTGAATTGATCTAGAAAACTAGGAAAAACTTAATGAGACTTTCAAAGAGGTAGTTCTAAATTTCTACATGAATTTCTATCAACGTGATGAGCATTTTTAATCTGTAATATACACATATTTATTTTAGTACTTAAATGACAAAATTCTTTGGTGATGATAGATTGTCAATAAATTTTATGACATCAAGCAACATTGCATCAAGAATTTTGCAGATACAAGCTGGGAAGATAAATGTGTCTCTTGGACAATTCACCTGAAACGTGAAATTCGCAAAGCGACTACAAACTTCTCTTGCTTCAAGTAAGTAAGACCAATAATCTATTGATTTTGAATGAATTTGTTCTGCTCAACGAAAAAGAAAGAAACATTAGTTGTGAAACTACGATAGTTCCTGCAATTTAGTCCTTGACCTATGACCAATTAGTTAGATTCGTAAATGGGTCAAGTAAATGACGATGCTATTCATTAATTTTCGTATTGTTTCAAAATATTTACCGACTTCTCATTTCGATAATAATTTGAAGTTGTCAAGCACTATAGCTATACCCATCTGGAGTGCAAGTATATTGCTTAGTACAGCTAGGTGAAGTTTTACTTGAGCACCAAGAAGTACATTTGGAATTTAATTATGAGTCCTGGTTGGAACATAAATACATTTTGGGTATTATTTACTTCCAGCACCATGATTAACTTTACCTAAGACAGAGTGATCTGAAAGCAGAAGTCAAGACTCTGAGAAACTCCATGGATAATCTCCAAAATAAGCTATGCCCGGTGAATTTCTGATTTTTGTGTACCACATATTTGTTGAGCATGCATTTTTATCAACATAGTGCCAATCCCAAGATGGTGATTAGGTGTCTAGAAATCCAGTTTGCTAGGTTGTTTTAACCTTAGATATTATCCGGTGGCGTAATAAGAAAACAATATGTATTCCTTGAAAGCAGAAGTTAATCTTTATCTTTCTTGTAAATTTATATTAATACAATAACAAACGTCAATATCTTTACATCTATCCTTTCTTTGATTTCAAATTTTAAAATGACTACTAATCTTGGATGTTTTATTACATTTAAACAACAAAAAGTCCATTCCAATTTAGCAGTGGAAAACATTGAATTGAAAATATTATGTACAAAAATCAACACATTCAAAATATTAACATTACTTTCAAAATAAACCATCACATACACTGCATGGACTGCACACTAGTAATACTAAAAGGATATATTATAATGTATGAATGATGCCAAAAATATGTTTTCCGCTAATACGGTTCGTTTTTCTTCACATTGTACATGTCAAATCAAAGCGCACGTGGTAACATTGGTGGTTGGATCCACGTAAGCAAATAATGTGATTATGAAATATTCGTCGGATGCGGCCTTTCGCCGCATTCCCCATGTGGGCCCATGTTAAATTGTTCATTCTCGTTTTAATTCTTAACTCTTTATTCTCACATTTCGCTATCAAAGAAGAATGGCAATGGTTTTTCTTTTTACAAAAGATTATTCCAATATCTTTATGCTCCGTTTGGGGTTGATTTCATTTCGAGGATAGATTAAAAAAAAAAAAATAAAATAAAAAATTGACAATTTGTTTTTGTTTTCGGAGAACATAAAAACATATATATATATATACACACACACACACACAATCGAGAAACTTGAAAACATAATTTCCTTTCTCGAACATCTAAGGTAAGACTTTAGGCCCCCTCCTTCAAGTACTTGTATTTCGGTTCATTTATTTTGCTTTCCCTTTTTTTTTTTAGGTTTTATTTTCATGTTTATTTCGAGTTAATTAGTAGCACAATTTCATGACTAAATTAATGAACAAACAATTGTATCTAAATAGAAAGGAAAATATAATGAGTAACGAGATCTAACATACAAAGATTTTTCAACATTTGAATTAGTTATGACTATAACCCAATTTACAAAGCTTGAATTTGTTACTAAAGACAAAATAAAGTATGCCAAGCGGATTAAAACTAGAACATATTAATTAAAATTATAAAAGGTCTTTCCAACATACTTTACTATAGGTAGCTATGTTTCCTAGAAGATCTTGACATTTTAGATCTACAATTATATAATATATACAAAAATATGCTCATCGGTCAAGCAATATAAATACATGGGATGTGACTAAAAGCTTAAACATTAGTACTTAAGTGATCTCTCATTTATTGTATGAGGAGTTTCATTTTCTCAATTATAATAACGAGGAATTACATCTTTCATATCCCCTAAGCTGTTCCTTTGGCCTGAAGTAATTTCAAAGAAAAAGTAATTTACAAATAATTTGGCAAGAAATTTTTCAGCCATGCCCTACCAACTAGAGATTGTAACCATCCTCTTGTCTCGTCGTTCAAAGAAGAAGTAAACAATCTTTAACTCATTCTAATAGGTGGAAGCCCCTTTGACAACCCCCTGGATGTCCATGGGGCTGTGTGGCATCCTCCACTGTGCGCCTCATCCAAGAATAACCATTCTAATAGTGTCTTCAGCATCATCATTAATCTTTACAGTGCTACAAATCTCCATAAACATTGCCAACACCTTGGATGATGAGGCAAGGTGACAAATTTGTTAAAAAGTTATGTCTCCTTGAATGATGAGACGTTGAATTGTGCTCTCAACACCTCGAAAGTGAATGTGGATGAGGCGGTGAATATGACCTCATCGCCTTAAGTCCAACAACTAGAGGAGGTGACACTCTCAAGTACATTAGCATCAGAGGATAAATTGCTTACGTGGTATTTTATTTAGCTCCTTTTGGTATCAATTAAAATTCAAATTTTAATTCAAGACAAAATCAATAACTAATTTTAACCATACATTTTATGGGACCAACAATTTTTTAACCACACATTTCAACCACTTATATTAAAATCTACTAATATCTAATTTTAATCTTCATCAAACAGGGGCTTAATTGACATCCATGTAGGCAAAATTGTAACAAAAAATTATATTAAAAAAATAAATTCAAGAGTATTGTAAACTTTAGTTACCATCAATTAGAAAACAGTCATCTTATTTTTTCATTATAAAATATTGTGACAACATCGTTTTTATCTTTACAAAGATGTAGCATTTATTAACAAATTAAAATTTACTTAATGTCTATGTTGTGAACTCCAACAACCTCTTTATTTTTAAAAATGGATATGGATGTATTTATACTCATATAAAGATAAGGATAAAACTTGATATTTTTATTTTTTATTACTTGGTTTGGCCGACTTTGACTCCCCCCCCTTTTTTTTTTTTTTTTTTTTTTTTTTTTTTTTTGAGTTTTTTTTTTTTTTTTTTTTTTTTTTAATTTAAAACACTTAACACATCGACAACACATTTTATTAAAAGTCGAAGTTTTCAAGAATTCATGTATCCAAAATTACAATTCACTTAGCTAATGTATTTCCATTTTCTTGACAAGATGTTTAACTAAACTTTAAAAGAAGATGAATGTGTTGAGTTCAATAAATTTTATAGAAAATCTGAGAGTGATCAAAATTGGAAAGAGAAAATTAATAATAACTCACGATTTTATTATAACAGCTTTTTATTATAGATTTTAAAGACACTCTTCTTGTGTTCTTCGTGTCAACTTCCTCGCCTTATCTAGGAACACTTGCGAAGTGGCCCAACTGCTGGAAGGTCAAGGTGGTCCATATCGAGACCTAGATGCCGAAGCCAAACTCCAGAACACACGACGTCCAGAAACACTTGTGAAGTGGCTCAACTGTTGGAAGGCCGAGGTGGTCTACACCGAGGCCCAAATACAAGAAGACGAACTCATGAACACCTACGACAGAACACCTTTGGCATCACTCTTCCCCAGAGATCTGGTTTTACACAACAATCCTCTTTGAATGATTGATGGGACACCCATCATAGAGTACAAGTGTCTTGTCTTGTCAAGCATAGTGGCGGCTCTGTTAATAATAAATATATAGCGGGTTAGGTAGTCAAACGTGATGCCTAAAATTTGACATGTAAACTAACAAGATAAGGCCACATGTACTCCCAACCGAGGGCCACGATTCAACTTGTGTTATGATAAATATTTCTCCATGCACCCCATGTAAAGCTAATGCAAGATTCAATACAAGAACAAACACTCTCTCTTTTACTCTCTTGTAATACATACGAGTTCACATAGAAATTTTACAAATCGTGATTGGTAATTATTGTACAATCGTTATATAAATGTTTTGCCGGATTTCGAACATTGTCGTCCTGTGCCTTTGAGCCGCTCCTACCCCTTTAATCTGCCCGTTCCAGACCGTCCATGTGTCTTAACATATTGGACTAGGCTTGCGTGTGGCTGGGTGGGTCCGGTATCTGTTGGAAACATATTTTTGAGTCAACAGACTGGCGTCGTCTATAGGAAACCATACTATAACTAGGGCTGAACAACGAAACCACCAAACCACAAAACCAAATCGAAATCGTTTTCTTGAAACCGTTGGTTTGGTTCTACGTGGATCCGTCAACGTTTTGATTTCAAATTGAACCAAACCTCTTTGAAGTGGTTTGGTTTAGTTTTTAATCTTTGCAAACCATTTCAAACTGCCAAACTGTTTACCAAAAAAAATTGAAAATAAATTAATCTAAATTTTATATAACCCAATTAAAACTTAACACATTTCAGTTAAAAAGATACATCTATATTAGACATAATTCAATTAAACTCAATTCGACAATCATACATTTCAATTAATTAATTAATCATATTCAAATATTCATGAGTCATCACAATTATGAATATAAAACCCTCAAATTGGGTAAAGTGTCGAACAACTAATGCAAAATCACATTCATCAATTCTTCATTACAATTGAGCAGACAATAAAATTTAGATTTTAATTCAAACGTGTACATTTCTTTTCCTTCTAATAATTTTCTCAAATTTTGCTCAAATTCAAGTTAGATTACCAAAATTCTTTTATTTGTTGGTAATTATTTTTATATTTTTATTGTTAGTTATATAGTTTTGTTCTAATAATTGTCGGTTTGTTGGTCTCCCTTAAAGTAATTCGCCAATATTTAGGAGGTTAAACAGTGTGTTTGACAAAATCAGCCAAGCAGAATCGAGGCGCGGGCAATAGCAACAGCCTCGTGAGCCTTGAACAAGACCCTGCCTCCATTTCCAATGACTGAGCAGTCAGAGGAAAGGCATGAAAATGCCCGCAATGCCCTGTCTAGAAATAGACGCCAAAGAAGAGAAGAGGAGGCTAGGAACCGAGCCGGTCCTTCTCATTCGCCACCCAGATATGAAGCCGATGAGAACAATAATTCAGATAAATAGTAGAGGTATTGTGACTTGGATGATGATGATGATGATGATGATGATGAAAATTTGTCATTCTCGAGGGAATTAAGAAATGCCCAGGTTCCAAGCCACTATGTTATGCCAAAGATACCAAAATACGATGGGAGAGGCGACCCAAAGAAGCATTTGAATGCTTATAAGACTCACATTAGCTTGAGAGGAGCCATCCTGGCAATGAATGCAGAGCC